GCCTGACCTAGGTCCAACTATGCTATGCATGTTATTATAGCTATCTCAGTCAGCATCATTTTTTTACAAAAAAAAAACTGAGTTTGAGTTTTGTGGAATGGCTGGAATTAGTCAGGCGGGGCACGAGACTAGGCTGGAATAGGCACAACAATAGCTATAGTTGGTGGAGGAGTAGCAGCAGGAACCGCAGCTGTGGTAGCAGCTCCGTTAGTTGTTAGTGGGCTAGGATTCACTGCTGGTGGAATAGTTGCAAACTCCATTGGTGCCTCTATGATGTCAGCATGGGCTCCAACAGCAGCAGGTGGTGTAGTAGCTACACTACAATCAATAGGTGCTGCTGGGCTGTCATTTATGGGCAAGCTTGGTCTGGCAGCAATAATTGGAGCAGTATTTAGTGGGACTGCAGCATTTTTTATTTAACAACTGCGCTATGGCTATGCACTAAAACTTTGACCTATACTCAAAATATCAAGTTATAGCTACTATTGTGATTGTCTTGTGTAATTATATCATTTTTAGTGATTTATTTTTGCTTTAAAGTGATAAAAAAATTGAATATATAAATTAATTTTGACTACTGTCAGAGCTGCATATTGTTGCTTGATTGTTATTGATGTAAAAACATTGCCTAGTGAGTTGCTGGTTGCTACCTATTTAATCAACTACACTATTATTGTTAGTCTACAGACAATAATGCTTATTCTGCCTCTGCAATACAAGGAAATGGTAGTAGAATTTTTTTCCATTTCCTGAAATGGTAGTAAGTTCCTGAAAACTTTCAAGGAACTCTAACTTGTGTAAATGGCTGTATTATTGAATTTCATAATCATATGATATTATATGATAAATTTTGAGCAAAATCTTTCAAAAAAAACAGCAAAAGTTGCCTCTAGAAATTTTTATTACATTTTCTGATGCATATTGATGTCCTAATGCTGTGTAGAAAGTTTAAGCTGATTCCAACTGTAATTTTTTAAGTTACATCCATTTTAACAAAATCCCAAAAATTCTGAAAAATATCAAAGGCTATATCCCATGGTTTTTTTTTCCAAAAATCAGCTCCGAAATCATCCCAAATCTTTATTACATTTTCTGATGCATGTTGATGTCCTAATGCAATTTAGAAATCTTGAGCTGATTTTGACTTCAACTTTATAAGTTAAAAGTATTTTAAAAGTCAAATTCTGAAAAATATTCTGTACTATTCTATGCTTTTCTTCCAAAAATACGTCAAAAATGACCCCAATTTCTATTAAATTTTTTGGTTGCTTAATTCACATCATGAACAATTCTTTCTTCTTCTTTAATTTTTCTTTCTTTAGTCTTGCAAGATAGTGTGGGTAAGATATTACAACTGGTTTAGGAGCAGTTCCTCCTAACAACTTCATGTAATTATTATGCAATCAATGTCACTTTGCTTCTTACTAGCACCCTCTAATGTACTAGAATCTGAAAGAGAAAGAGGGAGGGAGAGAGAGGTGGAGGAAGAGGAGGGAGAGAAAGAATAAAAAAAAGAAAGAGCAGAATTTGTGAGACATTATAGTACTTGTAAAATCATAAGTTCATACATACCGTATATAGCGGAAAATTTTCGTGGCCCAAAAATTTCGCGGATCCGTTCAAAAATCAATTTTTAATTGTGGCTTTAATTTTTGTGGTTTTCTACTTTTTGGCCATCTTGAACCATATTTAATTAATTTTTGTGGATTCTATTTGTGAATTTTGAAAAAAATGCAAAATCTACGAAAATTTTGGGCCACAAAAATTTTGGGCCCCGAAAATGTTTCGCTATACAGTAGTATGACAATGTTAATTTCTTACTAAGTGATCTGATGTCTTTCGTCATTTCCTTCATGTTAATACCTTCAGTCTCCAGTCTTTGTTTCTGCATGCTTAGCAAACGTATCTTCATTTCGACATCATTCTAATTAAAGTACACGTTACATTATTAACCATTTAATTATACATACACATGAAGCCATACTAATACACAACATTTCTACCTTTTCTTTGATACCATATAGCAGGATATTTTGTGGCCCAAAATTTTTGTGGATTTCGCATTTTTTCAAAATTCATAAAAATTAATTTAATACAATTCAAGATGGCCAAAAAGTAGAAAACCACAAAATTGAAGTCACGAAATTGATTTTTAAGGCGGATCCGCAAAAAATTTGGGCCACGAAAATTCTCGCTATACGGTAGCTCCTCTTCCTCTAAGTTTTGATAATCTACTTTTATTTTCTCTCTTCTTTTACTTTATCAGAGAAATTATAATTTCTGGTGTTTCTTCCTCACCATATATATTGTTTGGGTGGAGGACTGGAGGTCGACTAAAAAAATAGTTCTGGTGAAGGTGGAGGTCTGGAGGAGTACTCAATCATTACTATTATATAATTCATTAGTTTTGTTATTTTATTGTATTCATAAGTTTAGCTTATTCATTAACTGACCATCACTCGTGACTCACTTACCTTATCTCTATATCTCACTGTTCTCATCGATTCTGCTTTTAGATTGCTGCTAGGGTCGGCCGCTCATCGGCTATGGCCAAAGGGCCTGGGCAGCTAGGCTCTGTCGAGACTACCATGGCATCTTTAAGTAAGTCATCTAGTCTAATGTTTCAATGTAGATCTGTCATGTACTTCCATTGTCTAAAGTACATCTAGATCATAGATCTATCTACGGTAAAAGTGGAACATTTTACTGCCTTTATTACTGATTTTAATTAATATTTTTACGTGTTTTTAATTTTACATGAGGTACTGTAAATACAAAACAATAACTGGTTTTTATTTTACTTTCCTCTTTAAAATTAAAGTCACTTCAAATATTCCACTTTTACGGTATCTATTTATGTGTAATTGTTTATTGTCTTATGCATTTATACTAGATCATCTGAATAAAAGAGCCTCTCACTGCACTGTGTCAGTAGGCGATTCACTGTATGTGTGGGCTGGTAATCAGGATGATTTACCTAAAGTACATGATAGTGAAGAGAAGAGAAGGATCACTAGTAATATAGAGCACTTTACTTATTCAACTGGTCAATGGATCACTAGAGCTACTACTGGTACTCCTCCATTAGGAGTCATGGGATACTGCTGTACTGCAATAAATGACCATCTGTATTATTTCGGAGGTCATCACAACGACTGCTTTTACAACAGTATTACACAACTGGATACCATTAGTCTTCAATGGAGAGAAATTGAGCCGACTCATGCAACTAGGCCAGTTATGAGGAGAGGTTATGGTGGAATGATATCATTTAAACATGATAAAGTACACCACTTACTAATGATAGGAGGAGGAGGATCTAAACCAGCTGTACAACTACCTCATTATAAATATATTAAGTTTCCTAGTGGAAGATGGCGTACTAATGAGCACTCAATATATAAACTATCATCAAGTAAGATTTAATTTTTTATGCTTAGTCCTTGTTTTAATACTAATTTAGGAAAATGGAATAATCCTTCAATCATTGGTCAGTGTATACCACCTGCTAATGCCTTTATCATTGAAAAGTTCAACAACACTAGAGCTGTTCTTTTTGGTGGAGTAGAGACTGATGATGATGATGATAAGAATACTTATGCTAACAACATTTATATATTAGAGATATCAATCAGCACTGTGGTGAGTCTGTTACTATTTTTGACTCTAAATATATATACACATACGGTTTTTTTATTTACTAGTTCTGGCAGTGTATAAAAAAACCTGAAGCAGTTGACCAATGGCCTGTGGGTAGATGCCATCATGCAGGTGCTATTATTATAACTGGATCAGACTGTCCTATGCTAGTGATAAGTGGTGGGTTGGATAAGAATAAAGATACATTAGATGATTGTTGGATCTTTAACATGACTGAACATTCCTGGATAAAGGTATGTACAGTGGGATACATGTAAATTATTAATTTATTTTTATTAACAGTTAGCTGTGCCTCACTCTGTTAGTAAGAGAAAGAATCATTCTCTCTCAGTGTTCATTATGAGTCCTCATTGTGTCTGGATAATAACTGTTGGAGGATATTTTGATAAGAAAACAATTGCTAACATTGTTATGTTAACCGAATTAGGTGAGTATCAAGTTACACAACTTTTTTAGTTTGTTGCAACTACTGGGACTATAAGAAGAGATTTCTCCCAATCCTAAGGACAGAAACTGATAATTATTATAACTGACATCTGTTTAAAAAATACACAAAATGGAGAATTTTTGTGAAGCCATTTTGGATGAAAGTTAGCATTTGGTCAAATTTTAGAGCCACTTTTAAAATTTAAAAAAATACAATTTTGTTTGTGGATAGATCTAGATCTTTTCAGTAGCATTTTAAGAAATCATACCCTTATTGTTGATACTCTTAATAGTATGTTTTTTAGTTTTATGGAGCAAATATATAATAGCCCAATTTTAATTATTTGTGACTGTAATTTATAAAAGGTACCTTATGGCGTACAGCAAAAAAATCCAACCTCCTGTGCTCCTTTAATTTGATAATGAAATTTTTGCAAAAAGCTATAAAGGTATTTTTTGCAACAAATGCTTCTCACATACAAATTGATATTTTTTTCATTATAATGATAAATAATAATCTGCCAAATGGTACCTTTTGTCAATTATAGTTACATTTTTTCTTAACTAATATTTTTATTTTAGACATCAAATATATAGTTATTAACAGGAAAGGAGAGTGGATAGCAGGTGATACATTATGCATCAATGGTGTCAATAATAATGAATACAAAATGAAGTATCAGGACCAACTACAGTTAGGCAGAAGAATATGGTTGGAGGAGTACCAGGAAGCAAGAAAAGGAGATACATCTGATATTGAGCAAACCCTTAAGTCTGCTATTAATGCTCTTGAGGAAAAGGAGAGACAAGCACAGTTTTATCGTCAGGTAATAGAGCAAAAAGAAAGAGAAGAAGCTGAGAAAGATCAAGAAATACGAAGATATTGTTATCAGCTGCAAGAGAAAGATAGAATGCTGCAAGAGAAGGATAGAATGCTGCAAGAGAAGGATAGAGAATTATGTCAGTCTCAAGACACAGTCCGTATGTACCAGCATAATGATCACTGGGTTATTAGTAAAGATGAGGTTGCTTTGACTAAGGAAAAGTTAGGAAAGGGAGCTTATGGTTTCGTTACAGTTGGTATCTTTAGAGGTTTAAGAGTAGCTGTCAAGTCACTTCATACTATCATCATCTCAGATTATAATCGAGGTCTCTTCTCCAGAGAAATGAGCATAGCATCACGAGTACGTCATCCTAACCTGGTCCAGTTTATTGGTGCAACTAAAGTGGGTAATCCTCTCATCTTAACCGAGCTGATGAGCACTAGTCTTAATCATGAGCTTCGCAGAAACCGATTAACCAATCAACAGATTCTGAGTATTGCTCAAGATGTAGCTTTAGGCCTCAACTACCTTCATCTGTTTAAGCCTCAGCCTATTATTCACAGAGATGTGAGCAGTCCTAATGTATTATTAAAGCCTTGCACTGGACCTGCTGGTTTTGAAGCTAAAATTTCAGATTATGGTACAGCTAAAATAGTGCAAACTGATAATATTGGTGCTAGATCTAGTTATATGCCAGGCAATCCAGCATATGCTGCACCAGAAGCTCCTATTCCTGATCAACACAGTCCAGCAATGGATGTCTACAGTTACTCTGTTCTCCTTATGGAAATGACTTTGTGTTCTCTACCAGAAATGACAACAGCAGAGAGAGAAGTACAATCTGGTAGTGTCTCCTGGTCTGATATGAAGTCCCTCATACAAAGAGGACTTAATGCTAATCCTAGAGCTCGTCCTACTATGGCTCAAGGAATAGAGTCATTGAAAAGGATGAAGATTTGATTTATTGTGTGTATTTTGATAATCATTACTGCTGCATTTTATTTAGTTTTTGGTTTTATACTTTTAGCTTTTAAATTTAATTTTTTAGCATGAAGGGTGTGGCCATAATCATATAGATCAATAATAGAGACTATATTACGTAATAGAGACTACATTACATAGTCTCTATTATCTATGCCATAATCTGGGTGGTCCCACTTCCTATTATATAATACGAGTATAACAAAACTCTGGCTAGACAAGAGACATCAGATACTTCTCGTGGTCCTTATCTCATACAATACAGAGTATTCCTGGTGGTATAACAATTGCGATCACTAGCTCTGAGTCAGTGAACATTTTCCAGAATGCAGCCCAAACACTTACACTTATAATGATAGCTTTAGAATTTTAAGTCTTAATTGAGAAAGAAAAATAAAGATGAAGAAGAAAGACCATGAACTATCATAATGATGATAATAATGATTCAATAGGATTTACTAATCAAAAGGTTCATCAATCAATAAAGTGGAAATCCTGGGAGAATTAACTCTTAGTCTTTGTTTCTGCATGCTTAGTGAGTGCATCTCCATTTCAACATCATTCTAATTAAAGCACATGTTTCGTATGATAACCGTATTAGTACTAATGAACAGAACACATATACATGAAGCCATAGTAATACATAAAATTTCTACCTTTTCTTTAATAGCTCCTCTTCCTCTAAGTCTAGATAATCTACTCTTTCCTTTAGCTTCTCTCTTTTCTTCTTTCTCGTTATCAAAAATTATAATTTCTGGAGTTCTTTTTCCTGCCATATTGTTTGGGTGGAGGAGTTAAAATAGAATATTTAATATACTTTCGTGGTGAAGGGTGTGGCTGAAAGTTTTTGCAAAAATGACTCAAAGAAGAAGGCAACCATTAGTTTTGTTAGGTTAGTGTATTCATAGTTTAGCTTATTCTGTTATTCATTAACTGACTGCTTATAGAGAAGGAAAGACTCGCTGAGATTAATGAAGAGCTTCGTATCAGTGGCTTCTCCAATGCTAAATGGCTTGAACTTGGTCTGAGTTTAGGTCTAAGTCTACAGACACTGAAAACTATTGAGACGGACTATGGAAGAGCTGGGGCTAGTCGTTGCTTGATGGAGTGTCTAGAGAAATGGCTCTCTAGAGCAGATAATGTAACTGGACCATTGTCTTGGATCACACTGGCTGATGGACTATGTAGAATTGGAGAAGTATCATCAGCAGAAATGATCAGTAAATGTAAGTATTAAACTTCCCTCAATTTTGTATGAGCATTCTACAACATAATACGCCACATTAGTTTAATTATTACTTTCCTCATTGATACAGTATCTGATCCAGCTAGTGGGGTATTCCAGCGTTACAGTGTTAGACTGTCTGCAGTGTCCATCAGTGAGGAGCCAGTTGATCTGTTATGTACAGAGAGACTGATATCAAATGAGACCAGGACTGGAGTGGAGAGTGTTGGGGGTTTCCTATTAGGAGACGCACTGAGAGAAATACAGACTTCAATAACTGAAGATCATAACAAATTGAGAGCATTAGGAAACATCTTACTGAAATCAGATGAAGCAAAGACTATAGGACAAGACATACTAAAAGATTGTGGTATGATGATAGTGTGAATTCACATTGCAGTTTAATAATAATTTCTATTTAGATATTACATTTTCTGATACTATTATTGATTCAAGAGTACTAGATTCATCTGTTG